TTCCTGTTATAATATATTTGAATTACTTTACTTCTCTAACATAATCTATTTAAGTTTTTTAAGCTTCAATTTTTATGTTTCTTAATGTACGCCTAAATTAAGAAGTATCGTGCAATTTGTGTATGTGCCTGCAATGATTAAATTGTAAATATTAAGGATATATATTGATTTTTTTAATTGAGCTTTTACACATTATTACACTTAATTTTTATTCTTACACATTATTTATTTAATGTATTGTACTGCTTTTTACATTTTTTTTTCTGTACATTGCTATTTATGTATATAGATAAAAATATATGTGTTATCTTAATCTTATATAATTCTTTAATGTATTGTAATCTTTTTTCTTATGTTTCTTTCTACATTGTTACTGATGTACAAGCCATAGATAAAAATATTTCTACAAGCCATAGATAAAAGTATATTACCTAGCTTAATTTAACTTATTATTTCTTTTATCTGCACTTATCGTAAAACTTTGTGTTATTAGTTGTTTAAATGTCAAATACGATATTAACTCTTTAGAGCCGAGATAACTTATAAATTACTTAAAATATAAAATAACCAAAAATTCTGAAAAATTAAAATTGTAATTGTAGTTTCTTCAGATATTCATTTCCATTTTAATTATTTCATCTTTTTCTCAATATATTGCTCAAATGGCTATTTTAAATCATTGTGATTGTAACATTATTCATTATTAAATTAAGTATTTTTTTTTTAATGAACCGATTTTAAAAGCAAAAAGGAATTAAAATTGCAAATATAATTTATAAGTTATTCTCGCTCCAATTAATGTTAAGAAGAGTAGGTATCGGACATTTAAAAATAACTCATTTAAAACGAGGTAATTTTAACCCTTACCCTACTAAGGCCCGTTTTCACAATATATGGTTACCTAAAGATTAAAGGTTACCAACAGATTCATCAATGAAATTTATTCATGAATTTCTTGATTATCTTTAAGTAATGATTAAGTGATTACATTTAAGTAATCATATATTGTGAAATCGGGCCTACGGGGGGTCACTAGTTGCCGAGCGATTTCTGTTCGTTCAAGTTTCTTTGCGTAATTATAAATTATACTATATTTTCCCAAATATAGTGCAAATATTTATTCTAGAAAGTTGAAAGTATGTTGGTGAATTTATACAGATTTTTTGAATCATTCTGAATAGGTGAAAAAAAACGGACAGATTTTAGTGCCCCCATTAGTATTGATGAGGTATCAAATTGTACCTAGTAGAGTAAGGGTTAATTATCGAATTAATTTTATATTATATCTTTTTTATTATAGTATCTGCTACTCGTGCAAATGTGCGAATCATGCAATTTGTGTTTGCCTGCAATGATTAAATTCCCAGCAAACGAGAATGGATTGAAATGGATTAAAATGGATTCAGATTTTCAGAAATCCGGCTTCATGAAAGTTAAAATGAATCCTTTTCAATCCTGATTTTTATTCATTTATAGGAATTACATAAAACAAATGTCTATTCCTTCTCAATCTTTATAGGAATGACATGGAGTATATTTCTATGCTTTTTAATCTAGAAATAATATTATAGTATTTTATGTGCATAGTGAATACTGCTTAATTTAAAATTCTGAATAGGAAATGCAGTTTTTCAATCCAGTTAAATCTAAAAATAATATCAGTTATTTCCGTGCATTGTGAATACTGCTAAATTCAAAATTTTGAATAGGAAATACAGTTTTTTAATCCAATTGAAGAAAAAAAGTTTATCTTTTAATGGCCCATTTTTTAAAAATGCCATGAATACTATTCAATTCAAAATTGTGAGTAAAAAAGCCATTGTTTCATTTAAAAATGCATCATGAATGCTATTCAGAATTATAAATAAGAAATTTTTCGTTTTAATTCAACTGAGTTAAAAAAAAGTACAGTAAAAATATATCATGAAATCTACTTCATTTAATACTTAAAAGAGACATAAAAAGAACTATATAAATATGTGCAATAAATGTTACATATGTAAATTTCTTATTTTTAATTAATAAATTAATCGCTTTTATGTATATTTTATATTAATACGTTTCCTTTATTATATACAGCTAGCGTAATTTTTTGTATAAAAGTTTTAAAATAATAACTATAGAATTTTATACATGTATTACTACTTTAATTTATTTAAACTTTTACATGTATAAAAATTTTTTATATGTCTAATCCAATCTATTTTTATGAACTTAAAATACGGATTCGGATGGAAAGAAAATTTCCAATCCATTTCAATCCATTTTCGTTTGCTGGGTTATTAATATTAAGAATATATATTATTTTTTTTTAATAGAGTTTTTTACACATTATTATATTTAATTTCATTTTTACACATTATTTATTTAATGTATTGTACTGCTCTTTATATTAGCGAACCTTACTAATATTCGCTCAATCAGATTTTCGGGTTATTGCTGCCATTTTTAGCAAGCCTTGAAATTATTATCATTTTTAGCTAATTAATTGAACACCCTCATGTCTAATTAATCGAATGTATTTTACGTTTCAATCACACAGGATATCTACGATATCTCACGGCACGCAAGAGGATGAGTTGGGAGGCCGAGAGGCGAGAAAATTTTAAGCTGACGAGCCTGCTGGAGAATCGCCGCGGTAGAAGTTTCAAATTCCTGGAGAAACGGCCAAACCCGCGCGATTTCAGCAAATTGAACACAGAGCCGGAAACTTCGGAAGACGAGCGTCCCGAGAACAGTCTTGCGAGGGTGATTTAAAGATATTCCCGAGTAACGCCATGACGTCGCGCAAATAGTATTACGGAAACGAAACAAGGGAAATCATGCTAGATCGCTCATTAATGATCGCACAACGCGATCTCGCAGACGCGTCCGTTCGTTTAGTTATTCTTGAATATTCGCGCTGTCGAGTACCGAGCCGACTCAAATTCGACTGACGGTACGCGTGCGCGAGATGATCACCTTGCCGACTATCGAATATATAGCTGTTTGACATTACCATTTATCTTCTCAATATATTCTACTGTAAGAGGGGCTTAGTAAAAAAAATGAAGTGCCATACTTGCCATTTTGCATAAAATGAAACCAGATATGTATATCACTATACGTTTTCAATATAACTAATATAAGTCTTTCAATTGTGGCCATCATATATAACATCATATATTAACACTAAAGATACTAATAGTCATTATTGATCATTTTTATTTTGTAGATTGATATTTCTTTTATAAGAGACAAGATTCTGAAATGTTGCGATTTTTCATTTTTTACTCATATAGCACACTTTATCCCAGAAATGTTTCTGCGAACGTTGTCAGAATGTTAGGACATTCTCAGGAATTTTTTAAAACGTCCCTTGGACGATCTATGCTTATGGATCTGTGCTTATATATATATTATATTAATGAAATAAATAATTTAGTTTTATATTACTTTTTTATTTTTTATAATAATTTATTTGCTTAATCTTTTTAGTGAATTAGAAACCTTGGTATTTCTAGTGTAATAATTATATTTATTAAGTGTTTATTTATTAAGTTAAATGTTTTTATTCCTGAGATTTGGAAATGAAGAATTTATTTCAAGTAACATTACTCGATTGAGAAAAATTTCGATTAAAAATTTTATCACAATTTCACATTTGTTGATTGTTCATATAAGAAATTTAATAATTGATGAAAAACTATGTAATACCAAATTATACATTTTAATTGAAATCCATATAAAACCGTGCGAAATATCTGGAGAACTACTTACACAGCTTAGTTTCTCAGATAACGAATAAAATGGTAATGTTAATGGGGCTGGAATTATTTTGCAAATAAGCTATAGTCACATTTTCTTGCTGGACCACTGATTCAAACTAACTTTATGTTTCCGAATGAGTTGTCACAATCTAGTCAGAAACTAGTCGTTAGCAGAAATAACTGCATATAATTTTTAGAATTTGTTAGAAACAAAAGAAACTAGATTTGTCTTTGCTAGCGCTTAATATATGTGTGTATGTATATTTGTTTGCTCTTGCCTTCCAAAAATATAAAGCTATATTCTCGCTTATTTCACTTTGAGATGATTCAATTAACTTTCACAGATCCTTTCTCTTAAAAGGGAGAAAACACAAATCGATTAACAAAATTATTCATATCGTAATTCAGATTACTTTAACTCAGATTTTACATGACAAATAAATAAGCTGAAAACAACGGACTTATTGATTGTTTTTAAAAGTAAAAATAAGTTCAATGAATGTACTTTTGTTTATTTATAATTTTCATGTTAATTTCCATATTTGTAAAACTTCATGTAACCGAGGTTTATAATAATGTGCCTCAAATCTTCAATTTGCACAGTTTGTTTTTGCATGTATACGCGCAAAAATATTTAAGTCTAAAATTTGATTCAAAATATCTGAAGTAATGCCCATATAAATACTGTAACACATTCTTACTAAAATTTTAAGCAGCTTATATTTTTAATGATTATAGGTCATATTTAATGAAATACCAACATTTTTAATGACTCTAAATCTTTGATGATCATCATAATATCTATATCTTTCGTATTTAAGAAAACTATGCAAGAAGGTAATATTAAGAAAATAATTCTTAGCATTTATTATATTATAATAAGACTTATATCAGTCAAATTAATATTGATTTTAATATTATTACTAACTTTATTTATATTTGTTCCCTATTTGTACGTAATATTCAAGTATCGAAATGGTACTTATCTTACATTATTTATCTTGAGTATAATTAGAATCTAGAACTTTGACAAAATAGATGGATACATAAGATTAATGTCAAAACGCATTTTACCATTTGCAAAGTTTTACAAGTAGGAAATACGTATTTATACATATTGCAACTATATTTATAATTGATAGATACATAAATCTTCAAAAGAGTATTTGAGAGTATTCCGTTCTTAAATTAATAATTTATTTAATCATTTTATAATTCTATAATTACTAAAAGTAAAAAAAAATATTTGATTACAATTATATTAGGAACAATTAAGATTTATTAATTATTTGCAGTACATCAAATATAGTAAATTACACTTTGAAAACAAAATTTGTTATTTAAATTAATAATTAATTTTGAAACATTAATACATATAAAATTACATTAATTCAAAAATATGTTACTGACTTTTTTGCTCTAATAAAGCAATATAAAGAAAAAAGTAAGGAAAATAACGTTTTGTATGATTTGTTATTAAGATTAGAAATTACGAATTACATAATTACAGATTCCTATTTTTTATTAATTAATTAAATTTCTATTTATAAAATTAACTTTTTACTTAATAATTTTATTAATAAAATATTTATATAGTTCATTCATGTTAAGAGCGGCCTCTTCGATATATGTTGTCAAGGTCATAACCTCCTTGAGTGACCTCCACGTTTTAGCTATCGTTACTCATAAAAACGATTTTAATTACCTATTAATATCAATTAAGTAACCATAGCATTAAAAAAATTGATTTTTGATATGCTCCTAATATTCTTTTTGTAAAATTGTATTTTTATAAATACATTTTTATTAAATTCAATGTGATAATAATTCATTGATAACACAATGCTGAATTTAAATCAGAAAGTTAAAAATTATATCAAATCAATCAACAAAACTCAATTAACAAAAATTTAAATATCATAACTAATGTTAAAAGCACAAATTTTTATTTTTAAAATTTTTGTTTAACAAAAATTATTTTAATGTATTCTTTTATAGTATATATATATCTTACAAAAATATATAAAAATACCATATATATTTATCATTGTTTTATCTAATGTCGAAGATTATAGTAAATAAAATGCACATATGCGTGAGACAACATATCTAAATTATCCATTAATTTGTAACATATAAAAAAGGATGTTAAAAAAGGGCAGATTTTGACAAAAAAAGGTGTGAGTAAAAGGAATAATATTTTTTGTAAATTGGATACAATAAATTTATTAAAAAGTTTGTGAGATTTAGAGACCTTAAAAATTGCAAGAACATAGTATATTTATAGAAATTCAGATGATGTGTGTATAGAACTAATACTTACATAAAATACATGTAATATGTCATACATGTCGCTATTTCGTTTAACAACCATCTCATACAACTTATACACATATGCTTTACAACATATATAGATACAATTTACAAAACGTTAATGGAGGTTGAAAGAATAAAAAATAGAGTCCAACCGAAATTTCAGTTTTTTGATTTCGGTTTAGGTCAGTTTCGATAAAAAACAGTTTCAAAATTTAATTTCGGCCGAAATTAAGAGAAAATTTCGGTGGATAAATCGAAACTGTGCAAGTTGCAATGCGCCAATAAACGTTCAAAAAACAATTATTTTATTTTAATTATTAATTTGTTGATTAAGCTTAAGACAAATTTCTATAAACTTTGATGTAATCCTAATAGTAATTGTGATTTGATTTCTTTAAAGTTGAGGATTGAGCAATATTATTATATTATTTTAATTAGATATTTTATAATAAAATCTTATTTTTTAAAGAGTACATAAATTTGTCATGATTTCTGAAAATCATACTCTGTAAAATTAATCCAAAAATGTCGATTTCGACTCCGGCCGAAAAAAAGTGAATTTGTTACTCTCTCTCTCTCTCTCTCTCTCTCTCTCTCTCTCTCTCTCTCTTTTAGTAAGACTTATCTAAATTTCGTCAAATTTTGGTTTCGTCGAAATTGAATGACAACCGAATATTCGTTTTCGGTTTCTGCCGAAGGTCAAAATGTGTTTTTGATCGGACTGTAATAAAAAATGATGAAATATTTTGCGTGTGTTTTCTAACAGGACTCCGAATTTCCTTTTGTTACAAAACACACTTTCTTCGCTTCCCGGAAAAAACGCACAAATGCATTTTGGGGAAGCTCCAAACATCATCCAAATTTCTATAAATACACCATATATTTCCTCAACTTTTAAGGTGTCCTAAATTTCACGAATTTTTTAATAGATTTATCGTATTCAGATTAAAATGTACAAAAAAGATCTATTCCTTTTATTTAAATTTTTTTGGACCAAAATTGGCTGTTTTTAACATTCTCTTCTAATTCCTTTTTTTAAATTATAATTATATTATATTGAAGCAAAAAAAACTTATCACTATTGTTACTATTTGAATTAATATTTGCTCGATTTGCTCGCGCGTAAAAGAACTCATATTACAAAAAAATATTTTCTATCTTTTTCTCTTTCTTACTATCATATATCTCCCTATGTATGCAGTATATATTGCTAACATATTTAAGATAATTAAATTAAGAACCGTCTGTAAAATTGTCTACAAAATATGTATGTACTACATGTTACTTCACAAAATCAAGCTTATTTGTTTTTCGATAACTTATTGGTTTAACGCCAAATTGTAGCATTATTTACAAACCTATGAATAAGCTATATATAGTCCTATTTTTGCTTTGTAATGAATGCTAATTTAGGTTAGTACAATCTTAATTATTAATACGGATTTCCTTTTAGAATAATGCAACATCCCCTATACAATGTAAGAGTATATATAATCCACATATCTAGAAATATAAAAACCTATATTTTCAAATAATATAATTAAGTGTATTATTATATTGTAAACATTTTTAACAAAAAGATCAAGATTTATTTTGTGACAGGATCAAACTGAATCCAAAACAAGATTCTTTTATCGATAAGGATGATTAGTAATGGATAGGAGTGAGACGAAATCTTTCGATATTTTGATAATGATTTATTTTTTACACACTTAGTTGACCTCTATACACAACTATACAACGATGAAAATTAAATTTCTGTCTATTTACTGCTAAGGTCATCGACTTGATAATGACTTGTGATAGAGATGCAATAAAGTCAGTCGATTCTTTTCCGATTCACATGAATCTGAAGAATCGGGCGACGTCTGCGGACAGTACGATTCGAATTAACTTTTGCGCGAAATATCTAAACGTACGATCAGCAGAGGCCATATATGTTACAAATCACCTGTAAAGAGTGACGCCCGCGCCTGCCGCAAATCAAAAGGACGTCAACCTCCACTCGCTGAAGTCTATCTACACACGCATGATAAATTAAATAAATACAGGAATTGTTCTTCGCTTAAGAGGAGGTATCACTATCACCAAGGACACCGATCGGAGTTCTCGTATCGTTTGGATAGTCCGAGTTAAGAACAGGGAGAAATATTCCAGGTGGCTGCATACAGATAAATTGACGTATTGCTAACGGAGAACGAATTAAAGTATTCAGTTTTTGACCCATACAGTTGAATATATGCTTGATACTCCATAAGATACATTCTCACATTATATATATTTGATTTTTAATTTTACATGTATTTTATACAAACGCGTAGGTAAATTACATCACCATCGTACACTTGACGTTTTTATGAAAGAAAATCAAATATACCGTGACGTTCCAAATTTTCATCTTTCGCCCCCCAAAGACATCTACGTAAGAATGATAAAATAAGTGAAATTTTAAATAATCGTCGATTCATTCATACAAAGATCTCAGATAAAGTATTAGCAATATGTCAATTTAATCATGCAGCAAGAGATGAAGATGACCGAATAGAATAATAGTTCTCCTTTTATGCGCTAAATGAATGCATGCTCGACGACGAGGTATTGCACGAAGCATTCGAAAATAAGGAAAATAAGGAACCACAAACACTCTGACGAACATCATTAAGGTCTTACTTCCGTCCCACGTCGACGGCAGGACGAAATCGAGAAGGGACGCTTTCAACGCGCGCCCGTATTTTTGTACATTAAAAATCGTATACGTTCGTAGTGATACATCGACAATTGCCTATTTGTTACTCCATATTTATCGTTTAGGTTTACCTAGGTCTACCGTAAATTCGTAACTAGAATAGTCGACTTTTCGCAGCCGTGCTCGCAAACTACCACCGGTGCCGCTTTGAAATATCCTGCGCGGACCAATGTCGCCGTCAGAAAAAAATTAACGGCCATCCCGAAATATATCACAATGTCCATGTATACTCATGTTCGATCATAATGTTGACGTTATACTTATTACATTATTATATCTATTATTAATATTAATATTAATATTAATATTATTATTATTATTATTATTATCGTTTTATTATAATCATTATTACTATAATTATTGTTATTATTATTATTATTATTGTTGTTATTGTTATTAGACGTATACTTTATTTACAAAACTTACGTTTCGATGACAACGGAACAATGTATACATATACTTATAGTGTGCCATAAAATTCTTCAAGAAAGTAATACACGAACGTAATGCTAATCTGCATTCATCATCGGAACGTTTACCACCAGAAACGCGACGAATTATGTGTGCCCTACTGTTTTAAATTTATTAAAGGAAGCAAAAGAAAATCGTTCAACGCATCTCCATAAAAGAAATTATTTTATTATATTTCTTAGATGACAAACGTCGTCTCCGACACACGAGGATCGTGTACGAAACGTAAAGTTCGACACAAGAAAGACTAGCTTTACGTTGCGCGTATTAACATATGGCTCTTTATTTCGCAACAGAATCATTGAGTCGCTTTGTTCTCATTTATCTTAGTATAAAAAATTCGGAATAAATTGTAATTATATAATTTTGTAACCGTAAAATGTGAGTAAATTTTACAACATATGAGTTTTTAATCGTTATTAACGCGATAAAAAGATTTCATCGTCCAAGTTTAAGAGCAATTCCCGTTTCTCCCGTCATGCAGAAGATAAAAAATTATTTTTCCAAACAGACATTCTTTCCCGATTGCTTGTGTGCAAGCACAAACACGTGATGCAAGGATCCTATTGCGAATCTTAGAAGGTCCGGTTTTTCGGACAAACTCTGTCGTTCGAATGAAAATGTAAACACCGAAATTTTATTTCATTTTTAAAAATACCGTTTTCGAAACAGAAAAACTACAAACCTCTGCGTGCACAGTCTCAGAAACAATTGCAACGCGTTGAATAAGAGCGATCGACAGCTCCGTCGCAGTTGCGAGCAATGGTAATTGCAGTATTGATACAATAATAATATACCCTATCACGTCAATATTTTTACTATATTTACACAATGTCGTATATATGTAATACTAAGATAACTTGTCGTATACATCTCATTGCACCCCGCCACGTCTTCCGCATTGACCTCCATGACTCGAAAATACAATGTGCATTTTTTCCCTGCGTTTCACCGTCGTGTAGGAAGTACCCCAATTCCCATGGGAGAAGAAATAGGTGTAAATAAGAATTACGTGACGGAAACTCACGCCCTAATCAGTATGTCACACTCATCGGAAATGCAGTTAAACAATTTACAATTAGCGAGGCCTTAATCTCATCGACATTTCTTTAGAGCGAGCGCAGACACTCGAAATGCTTCTAACGAGGGCAAAACGACCAGAGTTTAACGACTGTATTATAGCCACGACAAATCCCTGCCCTCGCGCAGTATGATAATCGAATTGAATTACTTCAGCAATTTTATTCGGAAGAAGATAAATTACATGGAGTCAAATCGAACGTCCGACTTGGACGTAATTATATTAATATATCCGTGAAAGCCACCCGATTCCTTTTACCAGCGCACAGCGCCAACCCAAGAGTTTGTTTGCGGAGTATTAGTAGGTTGTATTAATTTACGGCAATTTTCTCCTTTTAAGACTCTTCGCGTCACAAAATTCATTAATCTGCACCAATCACAATTCATTCCTTCCTTTATCGACAGCTCGGTGTAATTACTAGGACAGAGTGTTCCATCGCTCGTAAAAACAGCTACAATACTATGACGGATCACATTTTAATCATTGATATTCGGACATACTTGGACTCATAATAATTGCAGCGGATATATAGTAACCAAAATGCTTCAATTTTATAATGAAATCGGCCCCACAAAAAATATCGGTTACTACTGTTATTAAATATTTAGAGCTGTCATGATTAAGATAAATTTTTAACGATACTGAGCAAAATCCATTTTCGTTTTATTGAATAATTCTTCATCGACCGCTGTGTGTAACATTGAAAATCAATTTAGAAATAAAACTTATTACCTTTTCGCGAATTTTGAATAGCAAAATCTCACTAATATCAATGATTTGCGCAGCTAAAAGGTAGTTTATGCCAATGAATTCAATTTTCTCCGCAAAATATCATATAACGCTTACGCCTGTTGCTATTTAAGACGTATTTGACTAGACACTACATGTTGGAAATATTTACCCGTTAATTCCCTATTAGGAAATCTCGAACGTGCAATTTTAATTGCTACAACTCCGTCATATACATCAATTCTTCTTTACAGTTATGGCGTCAAGTCGATGGTTGGCCCGGTATTAGCATCAGTAGGACACATTTGCAGAAACTGTAATCTACGTTATGTGTCACAATGGTCCTGGGAAGGCTATGATAATGAGAATCTATATTGCGCAAATTGTCCCTGTCGATAATGCCAGCAATTTCGATCCTCTACCCTGATTTTACCCTCAGCGCTAATTTATAGAAGAGTACTCCTTTCGTGGATTCTTCATATAATTGATATTTGTTTCTTTTGGAGATAAAGCAACTGATATTTGTTTTTTTTTTTTGTTTTTTTTTTTTCAAATAAAATTCACGTAGAAAAATGATAGAAATACTGCGCGCTGCGTTGAATTTTTCGTAATCGCCGAATCACTACCGCTCCGTTAAAACATCCGAAATTATCTAACCATTCTAATTCCGTCATTATTAATTGCTATTGCCTCATTGGCTATAAATTCCAAAGGATGAACGATTTTGGGCCTCCATCGAATTTAGATCGTTCTAATATCGTCGATCTTGACCTCGCCACATTTTTTTAACCTTTAAATTTACGATAGCCAACTAGATAAATCTCTTCGATCGCGCTTGCTCCGCGCTCTTGCTCTTCTGCAGAATCAAACGCAGTCGATCTTGCGATTGCCGTCGACAGAACAGAGAGGAGTACTCGTTCCATGGATTATGGTAAGCTTCTACCGGCCGGCAGTTTTTTCTCCGTGGATACCGTCTCGAAGAAACGGTTCAGACGACGCCTTGATAAACAGGACTGTACTCCATGTCGTGGGTATACTGAGGTGGTCCTGGCGGCGGCGGTTGTGGACTGTACTGTTGGGCGGAGGCGTCCGAGGCGCGACGCCTGAGCGCCGCGATGCTGTGGGCGCCTCTCCAATCCGATCCTTCGTTCGCGCTCACGTCGGCCACGCAGGAAACGCCGCCACCTCCGGTACCGCCGCTGCCGCTGCCACCGGTACCGGAAGTCGTGCCCGGAGAGCCCTGACCGCAGTTCAAACCTGAGCCCATCCCGGCTTGACCGCCCACCGAGGAACCCACTGGTGGCGAACCTCGGGACGCCGATACGTGAACACCACCTGAATAGAAGAGAATCGGATTAGCGTTTTCTTTGTAACTCTCAACTATCAACTGCTGAAAAATTATATTGAGAAAAAAGTATTCGGCACTTGTAACTGTAATTGCGTGATAAAAAATTCTGGTTAGGAATCCATTTTTACAGTTATTACTGCTATAATGTTAATAATAATTATTATATTTATAAATAAGTAATAAATAGAAAATAGACCAACAAATGAATAATACAGATAAAAGCAATAACGTAACCTATACAGGATTACAAGAAAGTTTAACCACAAAATTTTGTGTTTATTAAATACAGGTAGCAAGCTGACGTTATTTGTCATCATTTTGTCGTCAAAATAACGATAAACAACTATAGCTACTTGAATAGTAATGTATATTTAAAAAAAAAACAAATTGCCGAGTATTATAGTAACATCTTATTAAGTATCAAAAATATTCTGCACCACAAAATTTTCATCGATTGTGATGAACTGAAGACCACTCTATTGGTTGCCTAAGAGAATTTATCCATGAAAGGATGCGCAATCATCATGAATGCATTTCCGAAGCGTCTTAAAGTTTATATCAAAGCTAAATGTGGCCGTTTTGAATATTAATTTTTATTTAGTATTTAATAACATACGAGTATAATTAATACTATTGAGTTTTTTTATACATATATGTTATACTGATTTGATAAGCACCAAATTGTGACAAAACTTTTTTGTATTTCATATTCACTCTCTGTATTTAACGAAAGAAATTCCAATATCAAAAATATTGCAAATTGAGAAAATGTCTGGTTGAAAATGAATAAATTAAATTATATCAATCAAAATTCTGGTTACTTTTAATTAGAATTGTAATAGATTTAACCAAAATTCTGATTCGTCCATTTTCAGAATTACAATTAATCCAATCAGATTTCTTTCGCAGTGTAATGTTTTTATGTAAAATTTAAAATACATTTTATTATATATACGTATATAGTTGTATTTAAAAATAAATAGTTGGCTTCAAAAATAACTATAAATTCATAGAGAAATAAAGCTTTCTATTGCTAAGAAAAATGATTACTCAGTTCGCTTTTTTTTCTTTAAGTAAGGATTATCTTTAACAAAGTTTCTTTTTTTCTTAATAGCTTTAAAATATACTTATTACGAATTTTAAAAAAAAGTGAGAGAGAGAGAGAGAGAGAGAGAGAGAGAAAATGGAAAGAGAAAGAAATATTATTATGCACTTATATATATATATATAAAGCAAGAATTTCTTTCCTTCTGAAAAATATTATAAAATTTTATCAAAAAAGCAACTTTATATAATAAGAAAATCCAAATTTGCAAAAAGGTATTTCGTGAAAACTAGTACTTTTTAAGATTATAATAAACTATATATAATAATTTTAATTTTGTTATCTGATTTTGGCTCTAATATTGACATGTTTTAAATCCAAATTTGTTTTAATTTAAGAAGATTCTAAAGATTAGTCATATTAAAAATAGCACTTATATGCAGACGATTTACGTGTCATTGACACATCACTACAATATCTCACTCATGTACATCACACATACATAAATATTCGTATAACAATTACGTTTTAATTAATGTCTAAATCCAATTTTAAGAACTTTATACTGTTTCTTCATGCAAACTACTAGTCTGTGGACTATCATGTAAATACAAATTACACAGCTTTTATATGAAGTAAATGTTGTCACAACGTGACAGCTCTGGAGCGCCATGTTGGATTAAAAAATGGTGAAGAAGGTCTCAATTTCGAAATGTTTTGTCGTTCTCAGCATAGACTTCACCTCACAGATGTATTAATGTGTATACTTTAATCCCGGAGAAGAATTTTCAAATCAATAAGAGAGGAAAAAAGTAATTGTTATAAAAAAATTACATGGTTTAGTCGGTAATACAGACGACTTTAGGATCCTTTTAATTGTCTCTTTAATTGAAGTATTAAACTTAATAAGATTTAGAAATATCTTAAATTTTGATGCTTATGCTTGAGATGAATTTATACAGTAGAGTATTAATAAAAGGCAATAAATCAAACACGCTGTGTAACAAATTCTGATTCATCTATTACAATATCATTTATTTAAAGTCCCAAACGTTTTGGTTCTCACAGTCCTTAGTGGGTACTTTTTGAAAACTAAAATATTTAAGACTCTAAATATAAAATTGTAACAGATAAATCGAAATTTGTTACACTAACAGTGCGTTTGGCTCATTGTCTTTTATTCGTACTTATTTGAAATTTTTAAGTTTTCGGAGATTTTCTGTAATTTTACGTGATAGTTTTACGGATATAAATTTTTGAAGCACTTGAAAGAAATAATTAGTATTTGAGAATATATGTTCAGAATGTATGTTTCTGTGTCTACAATTACGTTAAATTGTGGTAATTGCATTCATTTTTTCTCTGTGAATCCTTTGTGACTTTGTAAATATACGTTTTTTTGACAGTTTTGTAATGATTGCCGAGCGATAAATATAATTTTTTTATAAATAGTGTAAATAACAAAGAACAAATATTTATTATGATACAGTCAATCACGAATCCACTACCGTGGACGAGGCAGTGCATCCCCGAAAGGTTCAGGTAGAAAAGAGGTAATTTACAGATGCGGCATCACAGGTGCAGGAGAGTGCGAACGTTTCGTTTCTCTCCGCTGTAGAAGATCTTAATGCAGTAGACTGACAAAGAGCGTGGGGTGCGCTACCGGCCGTCGTAAAGTCGTTTCCGCCGCCTCGCGCACTACGCTGGTGGGCTCGAAAGACAACGGCGGGAAAAAAGGGCTTTTTTTTTATGACGGTACTGTGCCGGGCACAAATTTGCAGAGGACTATGGCAGCGGCCGCTTTTGAAAAGCCATTCGGAAGAATGGACGTCTAATGGCGACGATGTACGTGATTTTATGACTATTGTCGGCTGACGCGCGCGGTGGATTCGTGCTGTCGAAGAGCGGTGTCCACCGCGATTCACCGCGCACAATCAATGAAGTTTGATTCTATGGATACACCAAACGAACGACCGTGCCGAAGGCAAATGAAACTAAACGCGCGATACATTCGCAATTTCGCATGTGTATTTCTATTTTTCAGAGATCATCGGCGTGCGTATCTCACTAAAATTTGAACTGTCGCACGAGTTACCAGCCGATTTTTATTCTCGAGTAGGTATTGCGTGCAACATTCGCGGTAGCGCGAGTTGAAAATCGAGCGTTTTGAAACCCGATAATTTACGTATTACCGAGATTTGTTTGCGCCAGTCTGGCATGGTTCGCCACGAGAGAGTGAGTGAGTGAGTGAGCGAGTGAGCGAGTGAGTGAGTAAGAGAGAAAGAGAGAGAGAGAAAGAGAGGAAGA